GCAATTCAAATCAAATACCCTCTGCTCGTCAATACTTGCCCACATACGGGTTTTTTTCGGCTTTTCGTCCTTCACATTTTATTGAACATTTTTCATTGCTTTTACATCGTACACTAGTGTAGATGATCATCTATAAGAGGCGTGTTTAGCACAAAGGTTTGGGCTGCCTCGCAGTAAACACATAGCAATGGAGTCATAGGTTCGATCTTATATCCAGGGCAAACTAAATAAACGCCCATCCTTCTGGGTTAGGAATTTGCTAACAGAATTGTTTGAGAAAATGGAAACACTGTCCTGATACATCTGTAGGCTTTTAAAAGCCATTCTATAGGCCAGACGCGCATTTTATCATCTCTACCATGTTACGAATAGAGTCCAACCGACGGCACTTCCGTTAGCGATTGATTCTATATCCTTCTGATTCTGTTTACTCTATACTTATTATGTAAGACAATTTTCGGTGAATACGAGGAAGAATTCCATAATTTAGTTCGACTTAGTCAGCTCAGTATCTGGTAATGATCAGATTACATCGTGCAGAATGGTGTACAATAGTGGTGGCAGTGGTTTGTCTAGCAATGTCGTCTATTATATGGAGTCTTTTTCCTGTCTTTTATACGAATGAAGTTATTAAGGTGTGTCTATCAGCATGGTTTATTCATGAGTTGGTTTATTTGTTCAATTAACTGGTTTCGGTTTTATATACTTACTACTTCAGTTACTGCAAGGACATTTTAACCCTTACAACTATTCTTGTACTGGAATTTGCATGTTCCCACCAGCGATGTTTTGCCCTCCCATCGCCCACCCCAATATTAGGCGAAATCCCTCCAAGCTGAGAAGGAGTCCGGCGTTTCCATCAGGAAGCCTAGTTAAGAGTAAACCAGTGCCAAGATCCATCACCATTCTGGTATGAAACTAGTCGCATAGTGGCAAATCTCTCTCTCTGATCCACAAAAGCCGGCGACTGCCTGTGGTGGTGACGACCTGGGCAGATTTTGGCCAGACTGATCACGCGCCTCTAAGGAACCAGAGTAAGCAACCAGTTTGCTGGGCCAGCAAATCTCCTGAGAATGGAGATCATACTGGGGCCTACACAACCGGTGAAGACGGAGCATCCAAGCATCCAAGTATTAGCCGAAATATACGAGTGCTTAGCTAATCGTAACGCATCAATACATGAGTTTTCGGACTCAGAACAATCACACAAATGGTGAATATTTGTAGGAAACAAGTGATAAAAGGAACTAAATTCGTGATCTTCTTAAATCTGCTGGCTTTCCTAATGTAATGCTAATTGTTTAGTAATTTATTTGTTCAATTAAATAATTGGATTTTTTTAGTGTTTATACTAAGCATTCGATAACTTGATACTGCTCAGTGTATCCATGCGCAAAATTCCTCTAACTGGCCAGCAGGCGTGGGCACCAGTAAATCTTCCATTTTTTCCTGTCGCCAGCTAGACTAGCCCATTGGGTTCTGCTCACTCTAGGGACTCGTTGAGCATCATGCACCATCGTACTCTTTCAGAGTTTTCGGGAGGAACTGTGACCATCGTGTCGGTGGTCTTCTTACAGTACGTTTTACATCCCAATGAATCCACTCCCTAACTTCTCTTGTCCATCGATTGCCGTTCATACGCATTACGTTTTCGGCCCACTTTATCCTCGACAGTTTGGTGTATAGAACGACACCTTTGGTTTTGATCATTGACGCAGGTTGGTGCTTCAGATCCCTTCTCTCATTTGCGTGAGGGGAGACAGTTCTAGCGTCATCTTTTCGACTGTGCCATCAATAACGCTGAGTGATCCTTCATCCTACAAGCGCAGCGACCAGGTTTCTGACAGGCACGTTAAGGCAAGAAGAATCGTGGAGTAGAAAAGGTGGGCCCGGAGTCGGGTTTTCTTTATTCTCTTCACTACCTCACCGACGCTACCCCAAGTCGCTGGCTTCTTGTTGCTTAACTCTAGAGCTAGATAGTTATCCATATTTTGATTTTCCTACCCAGTTAAACGTGGCTGGAGTATTCAGAGATATTCGATCAGTTGAACATGAATGGGGCACACGTAACCTCTCCTTCCCTCATAAACGTCGTTTTTGTGAGATTTTGTCGAAGACCAATCTTTCCATAGGCTTTATCAAAGTCGGCAAGCATTCGTTCCGCTTGACTAATGTTTGCTGTTAGAAGAACGATGTCATTAACAAAGCGAAGATGATGCGATTTCCGACCATCAATTTTCACTTCTATGTTACCCCATCCCACTCTTCGCATGACGTTTTCGAGATTTACGGCAAGTGGTTTCGTTGAGTTTGCATCGCCTTCCATAACCCCTCTCTTGACGTCGATGTTAATATCGTTGTGTAACGGTGATATTTCGTTTGTGAACATGACGAAGCTTTAGTGGGCTTTGAGAATGTTTTTCACAGCCTCTGCAGTTTCGATCATGCTGCTCTTCTCTCTTTAAGACTTCTTGTCGTATCCCCGCATTGTTTTGCAAGTTTGGAGTTGAGTTAGCGGTTGCCTGTAGCTTTTGTGATTTCCCGCTGGCGTGTCAACCTGAGTGTTTCAGGAGACAGACGTGTCTTGGTGGCTTTCGAACTCTCAGCTTACAGTAACTGCCACGACCGACTTTCTATTAACCTCGGCATTGATCAAGTAATTTTCTTCGTATTTTTGTTGAGCAAACGCGAGGTGTTATTATTCTTGAGTGGGTGTTATTGAGTGGAAACCTCATAGGAAGCGGCTCTGAGGAAGGCGAAATCCGCCGAAACGTCAGCTTAATCGTGAACAAAGAGTAATAACACCTCGCGTTTGCTCAACAAAAATACGAAGAAAATCTCAGCTTACATTTTGCTATCCCAACAGCCGACAAATGAACTGAATAAGTCCCAGTTTGTGGTGGTTTTGGTACTTCCTTTTTTGAATTCAGCGGCTTTTCTCCTTTTAGTGGGGAATAAAATCTTTTCCGATGGAGGAGTTGGTCTGATCTCACATAGAATTTTGGAACAACAGCGACATCGTTAGGGCAAAACGTTCTATGATATCCTATGATCTGATTTATTCCGTTGTGGCAGTCTTCACTGGGAGACTCCCACGTTCAGCATTGAGAGTGGGGCTTCTCGAATTGCTAGTTACGGTCTTCGTCGCCATAACGAACTCAAGTGGCCGCTCACGCTGCTCGTTTCAATGTATTCTTTGGATTCCAATGTCACGTTCTTCAGACGTTCTTCTTGGTCCAATCTTAGTTGAAATCTCCAATGATGACCTTGAAGAATGTATGGTCTTCTCTGTAAAACTTCTCGAAGTCCATATAGAACGCTTCGACTTCTTCTTCGTCATAGTTTGATGTTGGTGCGTAAACGACGAAGATTGACCAAGCCGGCATGCATCCACATCCTTTCAGTCGTAAACATCCGATTGGGTTGTTAATTATTCGAATAAGTCTATGTTCATGGCCAAATTCTTGTTGACGGAAACGCCATCTCCACCGACTCATCTGCTGTCGCATGTCCCGAGGAACAGTTCTTCCCCAGTGTCACAGACGGCATTGAATAGGTGGTATCGCCTTGTCTTAGTCAGTCTGATGACTTCGGACCTTATCCTTCTTTTGTGCATGATCAAGTCTACTATTAAGTACTGAGAAACAAGTGTGTGTGCATTTTAGGTTTAGATCGTTACCTTAGTCCCACGCGATTTACACAGATTAGAACGGTCCTGAGATTTTAGCAGCCTATCTGTACTCGTCCTACTCAACGCTGCTGAATTGGGAATTCTTTCGGGGTCAGGGAAACGAGGCCGGTTTCTTTTACTGTGTTTAACTTTTTGATATCCACGTGTAGTTTTTTGAACTCTGAACGTTGGGCCTAGGTGAACTAACTAGTAGCTTACCAGTACCACACTAGTCTTTCCCAGAGTGCATGGGGAGCTTGTTTGTTGATGGGGACTCCTGACCGCCTTTCATCTACTTCCCCCTCACTTGATTGCAGGTTTCGGACGATTTAACTCGTAGCATAGGATTTGCATAAATGAGGGCACACGTATGCACTCGTGCATAGAATATGTTCTCGTATATGCAGAGGGTATGTACAAAATCAACGCAGCAGAAACAAGGACTCCATTCCTTGGATTCACTTGCGTCTCAGGGAAGCAGAGGTCGCTTTCGCTCTGCAATTAACTCTCTATTCACCACCTGGGGAAGTGCCACGTCTCCTGGCGACTAACCGGCATAGGATCCCTTTATTGAGAGAGATCCGTGGAGATTATGAATATGTGAGAAAAATCCTCCTTAGATTTCGTTTTGTCTTTGTGTCTCATTCTCAACAGTATGGTATTCAACGGGAGAGGAGAGGCACAGTGGTTATTACAAAGCCCATCAGGAAGCAAGGTGCTGGTTCGACGCCCTACCAATTCTCTTCGACAATTCGCGTAAGAACGCATTATCTCGGCTGTCTCTAAGATTGCAGGGAGAATTGACTCAACCAGCATTTTACGACATTCATAAAGAAGAAAAGTCGTCGAAAATGGATGGAATCCAATAAGTGCTGGGACCCGCACAACAGATGTGATGACGGGATGAATATGTAAAAAATTACATCCAACTCATATTAGAGAACTCAGGAAAGGTCACTACTTTTATTTATTAATCTAATCTACTAGTAATCACTCTCCCAAAGGTTTACCGCCTCATCGTGGCTGGGAGGCATTTCTGGTTGTCGTACTGCGATGCACAGCGGTGGATTCATCCTCTGGCAGGGTCTCCCAAGCTGAGAAGGAGCCCGGCTCTGAAGATCTGGGGCAGACTTTAGCCAGGCTGACCCGCTGGGACCTGCACAACCAGTGAGAACGGGCCATTCAAGTGTCAAGTATCAAGTACTACTAATTACTGCTAGTAATTAATTGGTTAACATATTTCATTTCTTAAGTGAATAAACTTGAAACGTTGCAGAATCTGCAATTCACACAACATCACGACGAAAGTCCAAGTTATTCGACTTTTTTGATGGAGAATCCGCCGATGAAAAATGTGATACGTTTCCATTTCTTCAACGTTTCCAATCCGGACGAGATCATCTACAACGGCGCCAAACCTCGTCTCATCGAAACGCCTGCCTATGCAGTTATGTAAGGCGTTAGATATATTTAGAGGCTCTGAATTTTTTCTGCTCATACTGCTTCTTATTTGGTCTAAGTCTAAGAGCAAGTATAGTATACCAACAGAGCAATGAAGCGAAATAGTGACATGAGTGAGAAGACTACGAAGATGCTGCGATTTGTGGAACTCTAAACAGTACAGTGTGATATTTGCACGTTCACATTACGGACTACTTATATAGCCTCCCGTCAATTCTCGCTTTCTTTTTACAGCCTATCTTTTTGTGTTTTAGCCTCATAATTAAGTTCAATCTCACGTTAGAGGCTACCAAACATTCCTTGACTCCGTGGTCAACAAATTGCTATCAGACATCTATAGGAGAGCAAAAACACCAACATCGCTAGGTTATTACAACCGCCATTCACCTCTGCAATACTATGAATGAAATCGAATGCGTGGTTCATCTCTAAAGGAGCGGTTAACGTTGAGCGCTTTCAATGTTTTATTTCTCGAAGATCTCATTCCAATCGGCTCTGAAGAGATAATCATTATTAGTCAATGGATAATTAATTAATAAAAGTTAATAGCTAGTTAACTAATTACTATCAGCTCAATTGTCTGGAAGATTATTGATTATTTTTCCCAAATTTAACGAAAATCGGTTTTTAAGATAATTGTTATTAAATATTTTTATGCAGTTGAAAGACGTCGAAGTCATTTCGTTTTCAGTACATTTCTCAGCTGAATACCACACCGCTGAAGAAAATGCAGAGTCGAGTAGAAAGATGAGAAAACCGTACTTTCTACTATATAACGTGATCTTGCAAATGTGCAAACCATCCGTCTCCACACCGTTGCGCTTTTCTAAGGGTGGATTCTCTTCCGATTTGTATTCTTTCTTGATAAGCTTACACGAGGTTGATAAATATATTTATTTTCGGCTAACGTTTCGACGTCTTCGTCTTCCTCAGAGCCGGTGATCCGAGTCGATGGTCCCTGCTTGTTGTTCGCCTCGACGTTGCGTCTTCGCCTTCGTGTCGAGCCAGATCTTCTTCAGTGAGCCATCTTCTCGAATGAGGCATCCTCACTCAGTGATGCCCTTTTATACACGATGCTGATGGTGGATATATAATGACAATGTCCGGTGGTAACAACTTGTATTTCTTCCGGACATACATCATTGCGCACATCGTGCAGAGGTCGGTGTATTATCAGCTAGCACAAAGCGTAGTAATATTTCGAAACCGACCTTCCCTAAACCTCGGTGTGATTAATCAATATGTATTCTTTCTTGATAAGCTTACACGAGGTTGATAAATATATTTATTTTCGGCTAACGTTTCGACGTCTTCGTCGTCCTCTCTTCCGATTTATCCCAAATAGCAGCCTTTTCCTGTCTTGATGTGTTGTTTTTCATGTATTGTAGCTACCTCACTAATGTTCCTCACTGGGAAGAGCACGTCGAGAAACCAATATTTAACTTATATAATCTTATAACCTTATTATTTATTGATTAGTGGCGACGAACATCACCGGCAGGGGTGTGTCACTTCACTGGATCCGTCCTCCCACTAGCAGTCTGCTTACGTGCCTAAATATTATAGCGAGTTCATTTTTCCGTTGACAAGCGCTGGTATATGATATTTTTTTCGGTCCGTCAAAGTCCTTTTCAGTTTGAAACTGAGTTTGAGAATTTAAAGAATTTTGGTGCGGTAATATTTAAGCAAATTTTTCATTAGTATATGAGCTGTTGAAATATGGCCAATATAGGGGATCGTATATATATGATATATATATGTATATATATATATACATATATATATATATAGACTTATAGTTAAGAGTTGCGCGCGTGTGGCGCAGTGGTCGGTGGCGCCCTGCAACACACATGGAATCGATCCCCGCGCCCATGGCCCGCCAACCCTCCATCCCTCCAGAATCGGCAAATTGGTACCAGAGTTGCCTGGGAGGAGAGCAGCGCTGGCTCGGCACATCATTAGACTATTGTGAGTCAATGTAAAGGCCAGATATGCATTCATTCAACTCCAACGATACTTAAGTCTAATGCATGGCACATCCCTCAGAGATTGGTCAGAACCGAGAACTTTTTTTATAGTTAAGGGCTAAAGTTTGTAGAAGAAATTGGGGTTTCCGGGATCATAACTTACGTACCTCTCTTGTTGTTAGTCATTTAATCGAATGATCGTAAAGTAGATGCTTCATTAGCCAAGTATCCTTTCCAAAACGCGTACTAATTAATAAACTCTAAATACTACCATAAATTTTTGAATAGACAAGCTTTAGCCACCTATAAGGCAATCGTGGTCTCATTGAGCAGAGTTCTTATCAGAGAAGGGCACTCCACCCCCTTAGTGCAATATTGACATGCCTTCCTACCAGGAAGTGCGTCATTATGGGAAGGGAAATATTAACTGAAGACACTTTGTTGCTAATGATTGATTTTCGGTCCATTAATACCAAATGTAGTGGCCGGGCTCTGCAATGAAAGTGATGACGTTCATCACGAGAACGGTACTGCTTCGACCCCGTTTCGTGCTCACCAAACCTCTGGAACGCTCTAGCACAGCACAGACAGCTATCGCAGAATTTTAACGGAAATTGACTCGACCAGCAATCAACGAAGGTTGTGATGAGGATGGTAAAATACTCAGTCAGATGTTCAAGGGTATTCATGAATGAGAGGTGGATGAGTGGAAACGAATAGAATACATGAAGTACTGGGACCCGCGCAGTAAATGTGCAGACATTAGACCGAAAATAAAAATAAAAAGTAGATGTCATGACCAGTGTTGATGATAACTGAATATCTTGTTCTTAATATCTGGTTGGAAGTGCAGTCGTTAGAGAACACTAGAAGTACATACACAGGCGCTACATCAACCCTGGCCTACGATAACTAAGCCCCCGATCCCTCTGGGAGCGAGGGCCTATTTTAGAAGCCAAACTGTTCTGGGAAAATTTCCACCCGATGCACAATACCTGGGGACTGCTTTTGATGAGGAGATGAGAACGCTCTGGCAGAGGTATCCAAGGATTCCATGGAAAGTGAAGTCGACTAGCATTTAGCGACATTTATCGAGGGGATCGAAATCGTCAAGTAACAGGCGTTTCGAAAGCGACTTTCCAATTAACTTCCCGTCTATATATTTAGGGCAGTTGAACTACTTACTAAGTCAGTAGTTTATCCAAAATGTAATGCAAAGAAATACTGGTTAAAGCAGTGATATGGAGAGGATCTCATTCTCCTTAATATGCCGAAAAAGAAACATTTACCTACTCCGTGAATGATATGAGATTACTAATAAGCGTTTATTTTAATCAGAAGGACTTCTAAAGAATTCTAAACGATGTTCAGAAATAATAGGAAAATTCTACCGTTCGGATGCTTCACAGCATGTCTAACGGAATGCATCGTTTAGAAACATTTTCTACTGTTCCTAATAGTTTGTGAGAAACAGTTGTTCATTTATTTCTGGATTCAGCGAGTCAGAACAGAAACGATATCTGAGATGGAACGATGCCGGCACAGAAGTCTTCTACCAAAACTACAAGGAGTACGTCATCAACGACGAGTACACGTGTTCACAGTGCTCATGGGATGATGTAGTAACGATACCGAACCCAAGCGGAATAGTACGCAGTTTTTCTCTTCCTTCTTTTCTTTTTACCGGTACTGTTGGCTTCGATCTATTTCATCGTTTTTGAGAAACTACGTCTTCTTCGCTTCATTGTTAGTAATATAACACTATTACTATTCTTTCCACTTCTGTTCAGCAAACACGAGGTGCTATTCCACTTCCCCACTCACGTAAAAGCTGACGTTTCGGCGGATTTCGCCTTCCTCAGGGCCTGGAAGGGTCAAGTTGACAGCAACCTATTCGGCCAAACACTTTCGTAACCAAACAGAGAAAACGATAAACCATGATTTCAATGACATTGAACACAGCTCTGCACACTCACCGCTTTCTACGAGTCTTCCACTGAGTATGTCGTATGAAGACCAACCGCACAGTCACTACAAGATGTACCAGCATGATACTTCCGACTTGCAAAAGAAACACTGTCACTAAGACAGAAGATCGTCTTAGCTCGACAGTCAATACACTTTCTCCGCCGCTGTCTAAAACATCGAGTTGTTCCGAACTTCATCAAACGAAAACGACTACACGAAGTATGGGGACTGCCAGAGGATAGCCACCGAGTGCTGGACATCGAATTGCAAGTACTACGCACCTGTCTACGGAGCAAACAAAACCAGATGTTCGCCAAGTGGAAGAAGTGCGAGAAAAAGGAAAACCATTGTGTTCAGTATTTGGATGACCGCCTCTGGAGGAGAATAGAGGGTAGGTCAGTGTTGATTTGCAACTCTATTAGGTCTCAGGATCGACTTTCTCTTAACCTCGGCATTGGAATATGAATGTGTCGTTTTCTTCTTCAGCAATCGCGAGGTTTTTAAACAGCATACATTTACTTCCATAAAAAGCACCCCACTAGGCACGCATAGGATACAAAAGCATAGCGGAGACGATTTTGAAGTAAAAGTCAATATCCTTGCACAGGAGTCCAAAACACCAGCGCGAAAACTCCTAGAGGCTTTTTGGATCAATGCCAAAAACCCTACAATGAATAGCAGGGACGAATACCCGGAGGTCATACGCGACCTGATCCCGTACGTTCGCATCGATTTTTGATGTGGGATGGTGCAGTCGTCAACCACATGCGAGTATAATCAGCTGTTCTAAACTTCCTCATTGGAAGTCACGAAAAAGCGGTGGGTTTTTTCGAGAAGTTGTTGATCGTGTAACTGCCAAAGAGTCTTTCGTCTATGTGTAAGTGTTATTGAAGCGTTTGGCCTAGTAGATTGTATATCAGTATACCCTTCCAGGCTCTGAAGAAGGCGATACTGCCGAAACGTCAGCTAGCGTTGTATTGTATTGTGTTTTTATGCAAGTAAATGTATGCTGTTTAAAAACCTCGCGATTGCTGAACAAGAAAACGACACATTCTATTAGGTCTAATGCTAAAGTAACTTTGCGGAGAAAATTCGAAGACCTTTTGAGTAAATCGCATAACACAGCTTCAATAGCGCACAGAAATATCGCTAACGAGCATCAAACAGGTCACAGTAGGATAAGTAATGTGCAAGAAAACTCAAGGCTAACCGTGTTAGGAGGCATGACTCTCCCTGACGATCTTGCGTCTACCAATCCATCATTATTTAAGGTTAGACTTTTCATTAGCTGTGTAGACGGGCCAACGGACAGGATAACATGGTTTTTAACCCTAATATTTAACCAGTTGTTGAAACACATTCCAGCCGATCTTACGAATATCGAAATGTTTCTGGATCGTCTACGTACTGCGCAGCCCAGCAGCGCGTACGTGATGGAGTCCTTCGACGTTACCACCCCTTATACAAACGTGTCGAATGACTCCGCAATGCAAGCCATATTCGAACTCCTTCTACAACACGAAAGAGAAATAAACATGTATGGCTTCAAGATAGAGCAGTTGATGGCACTCAAAAGAATGTTTAAGTTGCTCAATCTTCAGATGGTCTGGAAAGTACTACGCTCAAATAAGAGCGTTGGCAATGGGACAACGACTGGCACCAAGTCTCGCCATTGCGTTTATGTCTAAGGTGGAGGCACCGGTGATTGATCTTGGGCCGCTACTCTTTTGTAGATATATAGATGACTGTTTTGTCCTTTGCTCGACACAAGAGCAAATGGACAAGTGTTTCGAGTTGTTGAGTAAATAGTCAGAGTATATCAAGGTCACCCGAGAGAAACCGAAAGAAAACTGGCTTCCATTCCTGAACATCCAAATTAACCTATCAGAAAATGGTTGCATTACGAAGTGGTACCGAAAGCCAAGTGGTAAAAACATCCTGGTGCATTACCTCTTTTCTCACCCCTCTCACACGAAAAGAGCGCTTGTAAGAAACATGTTTCGAACAGCAACCAACGTGTGCACGGGAAGAGAGCAGAAAGAGGAGTCGCGGAACTTGGGGCGTCAAATAACCATTTTTAACGGCTACGAAACTGCAGGTAGGGATAGGTGTAGAGAAACCCGAGGCCCCCCAACGACAACTCTACCTATAAAAAGATCCCGTTTATCCCACTCCTCGTCTTAAGTGATGTAAGTGCAGCTATAAAACGCTGCTTAAGAAGGGCGGGTCTGGAGAATTCGGTAAACGTTGTTGAAATGCCACCGAGTAATCTTAGGCGCCAGCTAATTCGTAACCAACTATATGACCATCTATGTGCAACGCAAAATTGCATAATTTGCCCCAATGGTAAAGACGGTGATTGCATGAGCTCGGGTATAGTTTATCTGATCTCTTGTAAGGCGTGCGGAGACGAATACATTGGTGAAACGGTAGACCACTCTGTGTCCGCATAAAAGAACACCTAGCCGGAAAACATAAACCAAATACCTCGCTAGGTGCGCATAGGACCCAGAGACATAACGGGGAGGAATTTGAAGTACGTGTCACGATCCTCGCGCAGAAATCAAGAACACAAGCGCGCAAAACTCTTGAGGCGTTCTGGATTAATTCCAGAAATCCGAAAATGAACCGCAGGGAAGAATGCCTCATTATTTATCACGCGTGATATAGGGCAGTATATAAACCTGTTATTCTGATGAGAGGGGCACCTTACGCTTCCATGTGAATTTTGTGCGGTTGGTCTTAACATGACATACTCAGTGGAAGACTCATAGAAAGCGGTGAGTGTGCAGAGCTGTGTTCAGTGTGATTGAAATCTTGGTTTAGCGTTTTCTCTGTTTGGTTATGAAGGTGTTTGGCCGAATAGGTTGCTGTCAACTTGTCCCTTCCAGGCTCTGAGGAAGGCGAAATCCGCCGAAACGTCTGCTTGTGCGTGAGTGTGGAAGTGGAATAGCACCTCGTGTTTGCTGAACAAAAGTGGAAAGAATTGTTCGATTAATGCCGAGATTAATAGAAAGTCGGACGTGGGAGTTACTATTACTATTATTACAATAATAGCATTCTTTGCGTTGATTTTCTTTACTCATTTTATTATACATAAAATCTGTTCGAGAACATGCGAAACCAACGTTGTAAAAATTGCAATTAGGCCTAGAAAACAAAAACTTCTGTGGCTAAAACTAGAAAAGACGGAATGAAAATCTGACGATTTGATCTTCACAAAGATGCTGAGGTGTTTGCGAAACTCTGGACCACAGGTGTCTGTGGTGCGGAACGAACGCGCTATTGTCCTCTCCGGGATCTTATCTTCATTGTATTCATGTTCCAATGACGGAATGCCTTTTCATTAATTGCATAATACTAAGAGATGAAATAGCTTAAACTATTGCAAAGTATTTAGCAAAACTCCGGTTACGATTCTAATTTGAGATGTAAATATTTTCTTACCAATTCGCGCAGGAAACGCCACAGCTGTTAGTTGACTTCGGAGTCGCGAATTTGGTACTGGTCTCGTCTGGGTTCTCTCGAATCCACTAAGGCGGTCGAATCTCTAAGGTGAAGATCTGGGAAATCTGGTTAAATCAATCTGTTTCAGAATTCTAGAGAGAATGCACTCTACTGCATTCAACAGCTTTTGCGAAGAAGACCAGAATCCTCAACGAGCAGAACGCGCGCAGAAATTTGAAGACATTACTAGATGACTGGTACGAGAAAGCGAATCGAATGAAGAAACTGCTGGGATCTGCACATTATGCTCTGACGTGTTATATAAACAAATAAATGCAAATAATAGTGACAACTATGAAAAGGTGAGTATGGCGCAGTGGTTAGAGGCACCCTGCAACATACACACATTGGATCGATCCCCGCCCCTCTGGCCCACTTCCACCTCTCCGGGGTCGACAAACTGGTACCAGACTTGTCTGGGAGGATAGCAGCACTGGCTCGATACATCGGTAGGCTACCTCGAGTCATTGTAAAGGCCAGATATACATTCAATCGCCTCCTAACGATACTTAATAAAGTCGATTGCATGGCATATCCCTCAGGGATTGATCGCCGCCGAGCCCTTTATCCTTTATCCTTTTTGCAGCTGCAGTACTTCATAGCTAAGCAGTTTCTTACTGTCACTAAAGATAAAAAAACACACAGAGATCGTATGAAATCCACTTCTTTCTGACAGTTTTTGGTTATATCTTTCTACTTCTGTTCAGCAAACACGAGACTTTATTTCTTTATTTACGCAAAGCCGACGTTTCGGCGGATTTCGCCTTCCTCAGAGCCTAGTAGAGTCAAGTTGACAGCAATCCACTCGGCCAAACACCATAACCAAACAGAGAAAACGCTAAATCAAGATTTCAATCACATTTAGCATAGCTCTGCACACTCACCGTTTTCTATGAGTCTTCCACTGAGTATGTCGCGTGAAGACCGACCGCACAGAATTCACATGGAAGCGTAATGTGCCCCTCCCATCAGAATAACAGGTTTATATACTGTCCAATATCACGCGTGATAACGAGGCATCCCTCCCTGCGGTTCATTTTCGGATTCTTGGAATTAATCCAGAATGCCCTAGAGCTTTGCGCGCTTGTGTTCTCGATTCTTGCGCGAGGATCGTAACCCTTACTTCAAAATCTCCGTTATGTTTTTGCGTGCTATGCGTACCTAGTGGAGTACTTAGCTTACGTTTGCCGACTAGGTGTTCGTTTATACGTACGCAGAGTGGTCTACCCGTTTCGCCAACGTATTCGTCCCCGCACGCTTTACAAGAGATCAGATAGACTGCACCCGAACTCATGCAGTCACCGTCTCTACCATTGGGGCAAATTATGCAATTTTGCGTTGCACATAGACGGTCGTATAGGCGGTAACGAACTAGCTGGCGCCTTAGATTATTCGGTGGTATTTCGTTTATCGTTACCGAATTCTCTAGACTGGCCCTTCTTAAACACCGTTTTATAGCTGCACCTACTTCATTTGAAATAAAGGGCAGTATAAACGGGACCTTGTTGTCGCCAGAGTTATCGTTGGGTTACCTGTCGTTTCCTTTACACCTATCTCGAGCTACAGTTCCGTAGCCATTAGAAACGGCTATTTGCCGTGCCAAGTTCCGGGGCTCCTCTTTCTGTTGTCTTCCTGTGCACACGCTGGTAGCTGTTCGATACATGTTTTTCCATGCGAATTCTGTGCGGTCGGTCTTCACGCGACATACTCAGTAGAAGACTCATAGAAAGCGGTGAGTGTGCAGAGCTATGCTAAATGTGATTGAAATCTTGGTTTAGCGTTTTCTCTGTTTGGTTATGGAGGTGTTTGGCCGAATGGATTGCTGTCAACTTGACCCTACCAGGCTCTGAGGAAGGCGAAATCCGCCGAGACGTCAGCTTGTGCGTAAATAAAGAAATAAAGTAGCACCTCGTGTTTGCTGAACAGAAGTAGAAAGATACATTCAATCAATGCCGAGGTTAATGGAAAGTCGGACTTGGGAGTTTTTGGTTAATTTTTAATTGTCAGAAGTCGAACAGCTGTCACAATCCAAATATTCAACTTTTCCTGCTAACTGACCAACATTTCTCTGAGGGTCCACTCTAATTAACGTCTTCATTTTTCTAACGAGAAAATAGTTTTGTTTATAACAACCACTATTTCCGAAGCTTTCATATACACATTGGTAATGGATTTAACGATGGTTGTTTGGCGAGGAGCTTCTCCGTCAATGCTTGCTGCTGGGCCTTGTACTTGTTATTGAACCTCATTTCTATCACTATATTACCTATCTGTATTTGACAGACGAAGTACGTATAAATGAAGAAATCAAAATGAAAGAAAAATGCAAATGAGCTTGGTATAATTTATTTGAATAGATCTGTTGCGCTAATTTTAGGGAGCTGCTGCAAGTCTACATAACCCGAGGTACAACATCACTCCGGTAGCACAAACACTTCTTGGATTCGGATTGTTGCTGCTCGGAGAATATCCATTCGTGTAGGCGGCTTATACTTAAAATAACAATCAGATATCTCAGAAATTGGTCTTTATTTAAATTGCTTAAGTTTTTTAAATATAAATTTTAATTGATTTGAATCCTATTTTTAAAGGGCTTACAGTATAAGCTTGCTTTTGCTATCATCCGTTTTGTTGTAGCATTTCTTTCGTTCTACTTTTTTCTCTGCTTTCTTCAGAAGTTCTCAATTCGGTGTGAATTTCGAGTTTTATTTGAAATATACTGTTCGAACTAAGAGTTTTTGCCCTGATTTTTAATCGCTGTTGGAGATTACAATTTTGTCAAAAATAAAGAAGCAAGTAGATTTCGTTTTCGTTTCAGATCCCAACCAGTGAAGAAAATTCTGTTCGACGGGTACAACGATGCTCTTCTCGATGTTGGTCACTCAGAGGTATATGAATGAAGTCCTTCCATGGTTCTTCGACCTCTACTATGTTTTTGTTTCCAATCTAATTATTTATTAGCTTTTTTATTTTCTTTGCACAATCCAATATCATATCACATATTATGGACATTGTTGAGTCGATTCGTTTCCTCCCACGTGTCGCATTTTCGGTTTTACGTGTGGGTTCGGTTGCTGCTTGAGAATTTTGGTCTTCTTCATGAATGCCGTTGAATGGTACTCAAATTATCTCTGGAATCTTGTATAATGCTGAGATATTTGCAAAACTCCGGACAGCAGGTGTCTGCGGTGGGGAATGAACGCGCTATTGTCGTTTCCGGGGAGAAACGCGTTCTCCGCCACACCATGCGGGTCCTTTGTTTTGCCTGTCTCTCAGCTAATTCTATCGATTTCGCAGCATACCCTGCCGCTAAAGAAGAATAGGCAGTAAATAAAAAGGTTAAGATTGCGATTATAACTACAGCTTCAGCTTAACTGGGTTCAATGCCGATTTGGGCTCCCCAGATCAATCCCGTTGACGGCTGAATGCTGTTGGCAAAAGATCGATAGAACTAGCTGAGAGACAAGCGAAACGAAGGACCCGCATGGTGTGGTGGTGAACGCCTTACTCCCCGGAAAGGACAATAGCGCGTTCGTTCCCCACCGTAGACACCTGCGGTCCGGAGTTTTGCAAATATCTCAGCATTATACAAGTTATATTTCGCAACATACCCTACCGCTAAAAAAGAATAGGCAGTAAATTAAAAGGTTAAGATTACCTCTATAATCTCCGGATTGTCGCAGTGGATAACGCAATGGTGCGTTACTAGGCCTCGATTACGGGCAGTCACCAGTACTTATGGATCATAAGAACTTCCCAGAGAAATCCAATAGCAATTTTCCGTTCACCGAGAGACGGGAGACTAGATCAGCTCGGTGGCGCATACGCAGCTCTAACTTTACCACTGTGTTATTCATTGCTTTTACTTTTTTTTTACCGAACTCTAATTAGATACGTTGTTGGCTACCTTCACACCTCAGCACTTCTTTCATAATTTTCACGGTTTTGAAACCGTCAACCACGCAGATGGTGACGCTCGTGTGTATGTTTATCTGCAGCTCGGGAATCGGTCGTCTTCTTTCTAATCGGTGTGTGTTCCATGCTGATTGGGTATGATTTTCGTTCACATCCGGACGGAATCGTGATAGATCGTAGTCTAACTTTCACCGTATGCAGTCTACAGACCCATTTCGCCAGTTCGATGTTTGGTGCGGTCACGGGTTCTTCCACCAAATAGCTATTTTTGTGGCGCCGGAATTTTCCACGATTAGTTGACCGGTCGCAACAAGCCAAATGTAAAATTGGTAAAGGGTAAAGCTCTCGGCGTTAATCAATCCCTGAGGGCTGCGCCACGTGTTCGATTTCGTCAAGCATCATTAGAAGTGACTGAATGCATATGTGGCCTAAACACTAACTTGTGGTGGCCTACCGATGTCTCGAGTCAGTGCTGTTATCCTTCCAGGCAGGTTTGGTGTCGATCTACCAAGATCGGAGTGATGGCATCTTTGGTGACCCTGGGGCGTGGGATCGAACTCTGTGTATCGCAGGGCGGCGTTAACCACTGCGCTAGCCGGGCCATTTAAAACCAACCAAAAGTCAGCAAAATGTATTTTAAGTGGATAATCTGCTTGTTCCATACAATTGTTCACCAGCGTGAAATACTACATTCAGATTGTCAATTTTCTGAGTGGTCTGCTGAACGGTGGAAAGAGCATCATTCCTATACCTATACCAGATATGCCTCTGCTTGGATTCTTTCAAGGAGTACGATTTTCTCAACATTCATACTTGTCATAATTAAGCTCGTATTTTTACTTCTCATTGTTTTTGCTTTCGTGTTCTCATCATTTTATTTTCGTGGCACTCCTAAGAAATTTCTGACTAAATTACGATAGCTTTAGTATAACAACAGCAGAGACGAGGAATATTGGATCAACACTGGAAAACGCAATATCGATGAGCTCGGCGAAATCATCACGTGGGCCAATCGGACGAGCTTACCAGATTCATGGTGGCCAACGGAGTATTCACGAAGCATTCGGGGATCTGGTGAGACTTCTCTTCTTTTGGAAAAATCGTTAACCATTTGGGTTTAGCTAGAAAAACAAGAAAGCTTAGAAGAGGTTGTGGCATAAGTATTGCTTTGAGAGTGACTACATTAAGATTCTGGAAGCTTCTGCAAAATGCGTCTTCAAGAAGATGATAAGCTGCCTTTCTTCCAATCATTTATGTGTCGCTCATTTACGAAAACGTTCTTCAATAAGACTACCATCCGTGGAATTCCGGCCTATACGTAAGTAGTTTACCGCCCGCTAATAATATTGTTTATTGATTAAATCTTCCAGTAGAGTAACATTACTACAATGGATCAGAAAAATTCTTACTTATTCAAAGGTATGCAGTACCATACGAGGATTATGACACGACGTCCGACATAAACATTGGCTTCCGATACAAGAACATCGAGAAGGTCAATTACTATCCGGACTGGCCCTATTGCCCTGAGTAAGGCACGCCTCTATTCAATTAATCAGGTCTTTGAAATTCTAATGCAAGTATATTTGTCAGCTTAAGCAATATGACAACAGTGGTAGGAAGGGCATCAGTCTCGAACTTCTTTTTGCAAAAATCTTGGTAAGAAACGTCTCTACTAAACGATACTACGCAAAGCCTTCAACACATGCATCGACTTCAATTCCTTTACTTCAAATTCTTCCTTTTTTGGCGCATTTTTTATTTGCTGGGTGACCTTTTTACTCCCACAGCAGGGGTACCAACGACTGTGATTTGGATGGAAAATGTCGAACATAAGCTGTTGTCTACAAAGAGGGTTTTAAGACTCCTTTACTTTACAAACGCAATTATACGAGTCTTTTTGCCATTATTCTCTTATTGCACTGATCTGCGGCTATAAAAGAACGCACCTAATGTAGACGTTGGGCTTCCCAGCCGATATGCACTGATCTCAATTCACAGTGCGTGCATTGACAAGCAGCATCCGTGCTTATGCGTTGAAGTATTGTTTTTCTCGCCATTTCTCCTATTTTTTTAAATTTTTTTATTTCTTTTATATATTCTTCTTTTATTTTGATTTTTTAAAGCTTATACATTCCGAATTCTCTCTCTCTCTCTCACACACACACACACACACACACACACACACACACACACACACACACATACACACACACACACACGTGCACACACGCTCACACACACACACACACATAATTATTATTCATATAGCATATACTTCATAAATTCGAAGAAACCATTAATGAGCTGAAGTTATTGGATTTTTGTACAGGCAGATTTTAACCAAAAAAGAGCGCATGTGTTTTAGCCGGAACCCACGTCGGTGCGTAGATCCAGGGACGGTGAATTGCACACTCCAGAAGAATCTCTGTCATGATTGCTGCTATGGCAGTTACGTGGGTGGAACTTATTTGATGCCTCCTGGAATTTTCCCACTTGTTTGCTATCCTGGTGAATTTTTACTGGCATTGAAATGTTTATTAGGTTACTCCAATAGTTCATTTTCTTTTCTCAATCGAAACGCGCTGCAGCTGCTTCATTGCTGAGGACAACATGTAAATCGTGCTATTTGTTTTTTTTATTATTACTGACTGTTGTCACCAACATTGTTACTGTTATCAAATTACTCTTTATTATTGCTTGAAAGGATAAACAATAAAGCTCCCGGCGTTGATCAATTCCTGAGGGATGCGTCATGCATTCAACTTCATTAAGCATCGTTTGGAGGTGATTGAATGCATATCTGGCTTTTACATTGACTCACGGTAGCCTAACGATGTGTCGAGCCAGTGCTACTATCCTCCCAGATAAATCTGGTACCAATTTACCGACCCCGGAGGGATGGAAAGCTTGGTGGGTCATGGGCATAAGGATCGATTCCACGTGTTTGCTGCAAGGCGTCTCCGACCACTGCGCCATACGTGCTCCTTTGTCATTGCTTATTATTGTTATTGCTGTTCCGATCATATTCAGATGGAACATCGATGATTCTGACTAATGCAGCATCCAGTAAATAGAAATTCGAACCAATTAAATTCAATCCTACGAACCTTGCGTCTTTAGGCTGGAACTGTTCCAGATTGTTCTTTGTTAGTCATGCAGTTACAAAGCGCGTGTAGCCCTATGGTTAGAAGTGCTCTGCAGTATCGGACTAATGGCTAATTTGGCCGCGTGCCCTACGTAGATGATAGAAGCGAGGAAACGTATCAAATGCAATAAGCGCCGAAATCTTCAGAGTAGCTGTAATGACCTGTCAGTTTAAAAAGTTTGCAGAGCAGAGGTGCGTGTAGTGGATAGAGGTTCTAAACAGACACACACTGGATCGATCCCTGATTCGATCCCGTGCCCTTGACACACAAAGTATTCCATCCCTTCAGGGCCAAGAATTTGCTGCTAGATCTGTCTGAGAGGAGAAAGCCACTTGCTTGATAGATTGGTGGGCCACCGCAAGCGATTGTATAAAGCAGATATGCATTCAGTCATCTCTACGATGCTTCGGATAGAGTCAAAAGCATGACACATCCCTTGGGGTTGACCAAGGTTGGGCGCTGTATCCTCTACCCTTCTATAATAAAGTCGTTAATGTATTGATAGTGTGTACATAATGCCATTGTTTTAATGAGTACTTTCAGGCCGACTGAAACCTACTCCTTTCGCAATAATGTATTCTCCGCCACATTTTCTCTACTCACCTCCGCAAATGATAAATTCAGTGGTCGGCCTTCATCCAAATTATGAATCACATCGACCGATGATGTACAGCCATGAACCGGTACTTTAGTTCATAGCACGCATTGGTTTATTTGATCAAAAAATGACATCATTGTGAAAGAAGTGAAAATTTGAAGTAGGAGCTTTTATTCAAGCAATATTTACCTTAAGTCGTGTAGCGTCAGGAGTCTTGTAATACACACTGGACCAACTCTGCACCCCAGGTTCACCAACACTTCTATTCCTTCGGGATCGGTAAATTGATACCAAACTTGTCTGGGGGGGGGGGGGGGGGGGGGGGGCTGGTGCTAAAAACACTTGCTACTTGATAGACTAGTAGGCTCTCTAAAGTCATTGTATAGGCCTGATATGGATTCAGTCATCTACAATACAACGATGCTACGAATGGAGTCGAATGCATGGCGCAACTAAAGAGTTTATTAGCATTGAAAGCTTTATCGTCTCATTCTTTAAAGAAGAAAATATCGTTCCCTCGAAGAAAACGTCAGGTGATTAGAACAAAAGCTCCACGCATTTTACTTGGATTTCAAACGTGAGGTGCCAGGTAGCATGAACAGAATTACAAAACCTCACTAGGCTTCATAGAATACGATGAAATCTTTTTCAAAATTAAGAGCTATAAAACTAATTGGTTACTTTCTGAAAGTGCTTCAGTATTCCGGAACAGTAATAGAGGCGTTCTACCGACTACAGATCTCGATGCCTATGATGAGAAGCAGTGTCGTTATGTGAGTGAACGATACGGTTTTTGCTTAGTGTTAAATTAATAGGAGAGTAAAAGGCAGTAAAACTGAGAAAAGTTAAGAAACTGATTTGAAGTAAACTACTCTTTAAATGAAGAAATGTTACGTATCGTCACTCGAAGGGTGCGTGTGGCGCAGTGGTCGGAGGCGCCCCGCAACACACAAGTGGAATCGATCTACGCGCCCTAAGCTCACCGAGCCCTCCATCCCTCCGGGGTCGGCAAATTGGTACCACACTTATCTGGGAGGATAGCAGCACTGGATCGACACATCAGTAGGTCACCGCGAGTCATTGTAAACGCCAGATATGCATTCAATCACCTCCAAATGATGCTCAATGATGTCGAATGCATGGCGCATCTCTCAGGGATTGATCAGAAAAGCCTCTACCGATGCTTTTATGAGCTACTTCTACCTTTTAAGTTTTCTAGGCTACTCTGGTTTTTCATGTATTAGAATGGAAGAACTTTTGTTTAGCAGGCCAAATTTTCAGACTTCAATGCCTTCTATTTTGGCAAATATCTTTTGATATGAGTCGAGATTTGTTGGTTTAGCGATGGAAGGATCCATTATTTTTACGAAAAAATGTATTGTATCCAATGCATGTTGGTCATGATGTGTTGAACATCTTAGCGTTTCATTAGAAAAAGAGCAGTTTTTTTCACTCTAACTGTATGGATGCTTTGATGGCCTTTTCTCGTGTATCGTCTGGATTATAGCACTTCCTGCATTTCTTTCGTTGTCTTAGGACTATGATTCACGAAGGTAGTTTCGTTTCGTTTGTCAGAGAAATTCAAATATACGGACTCTCAGCCTCACGTACGTGATTGAGATAGTTAAGAAATCACTGCCATGATGGCATATTAAACCACATTAGTTACTATTCCGTGCTTCTCACTTAGTGACCAACTTTTCCAGGTAATCGTTTGTTAGGTGAAAAAAAACACGGACTCAGAAACACTTATGAGTTTCGAAAACTAGTGACCTCCAAGTTCTCCGTTTTGGAGATGAGATGTTCATCTTCTTGTCTTCTCAATTCGTTCTATTCAGATGTTGCACTTGAAGGCTTTGGTTCCGTTGAACCTGAATACTGTAGCACCTTCGTTTCGTCTTTCTTTAAGCCCTGTTTTAGTCTACAGGTGCTATCAGCGATCACCCGTCAACGACATTGATGTGTGGAACAGAAGTCGACATTGAACCCAGTTCAGCTGAAGCGATGGAATGAACCATAATGTCTTCACTTTTTAATGCCGATCGCACTTTTCATCGACGGTGTCTATATCTTGCCAAAAACCGTCCAGACAAAGAAAAATAAAACTTGATTTCAGGGAATTTTTGGGTTTCGTTTCTTGAACTTTGTTGTTTTCTATTTTTTACGATGCGAAGAGCGTTTTCGGATGAAAATGTCGAACTTGTTAGCTTAGCTCCTTGGGAGAGGGCCAACGACTTCCATCACAACTTGCATCCTGATCTGATCAGTAAGCATATATAGGTAAATAACCAGAAAGTAATAAAGTGTCTAATTGTATAAAGAGTTACTCAAGTTTAATTCTTCAAAATTTCCTTTGTTTTTTCAGCCAAAATCGCGACATAACGCAGGCGATTGTGCCGATGTTTTGGGAGGACTCGCGCATAGTTCTCATCGATGCCGTCTATAACAATATCTGGATAGGCTTTGTTTTCATCCCGAAGTTCATCGACTTCATGAAGTACTCGTTGGCAACGCTGTCAGTCCTACTACTCACGTTCGTACTCTTGAGGCGTCTACGCCACCGGCGGGTTCTCTCCATGAGCTCCACTCAGGTTTCTTCAAACTGAAACTGGTGTTCGAAACACATATGGAATCCTTAGCGATGCAATAAATGTCGTTATCTTTTTCAAACGGGTCTGCTCCGTAGATTTTTATTGCGCCACTGCATTATATTCGAATATTATTCATTTTTTCTTTATTTCTTCCTTGACTGCTAATGTCTAGTTGTAATTGCAAATCTGTTTTATTGATTAGTTCGGCAATATAAAGGTGAAAAAGGCACTGACATCAAATCTTAATGAAGAAATGTGTCAACATATAAAGGCCACGAAACCTTTTTAAAAATAAGTTTTAAAATGTGAAAAATCATAAAATTGATGCCACCTGGATCCATTTAAATCTGTGGAGTTGGAAGAGTATCATAGAACTTTTCCCACCAATTAGGAGTTGTTCGGCAGAGTAATCTCAATTCTTAAAGTGATGATGGTCGTAATTGTCTTTTTTGGAGATAGAAGAAGTAGAATATAGGTTTATAAAAGTGCTCATAAAAAGCTTTATGGCTTCTCTATTGCATCCACAAAAAGGAACGCGAATTCCTGGAGTCTCCTTTCAACACAGAATGAAGATCTACTTTTGGAAGTCAATGCGTAGGTGTTAGGTGTTGCGTGCTCACATCCGTGTTTTCGTGGAAAGTTTGTCAATCAGAGAGAGAGAGAGAGAGAGACAGAGAGACAGAGAGACAGAGACAGAGAGGGGGAAAAGGGAGAGAGGGAAGAGAGAGATATCTTCTTGTTGTTCATCAAAAGGAATTAATGCTTTCATAGAGAAGCATGAAAAAATTGCAATTCTTTCTAGCCCGTAAACACGAAGATCATCGCCGGTGCTTTTCCTAACCTATACAGATTTGGCCGTTACTGCTATTCTTCTGTTCCTAAGGCTTTATTTTAATTTCTTGTGAATGTTACCGATAATGACATCTCCCTAAGGGGGGACTGATGGTCTTCGTAAATTCCAGCTTATGATACTTTCGGAATTTTCTTTTTCTTTTTCTGCCCAGCATCTATCTCTCGTTTCCTCGAAAAAATGAATCCTATGCGAAGGAGGCAATGGTCCGATAACGTTAAATTCTGAGGCAACATTAACATCGGCTAGGCAAGGGCAGGCATTAGATTATGATGTAGTCTACTTCACTATTTTACTCTCCACTGATAGGGTCGAGCGACCAGCCTTGAGAGCCGTGCTCTTGGAATTGTGAGTTACCATGAATGGTCTTGGTCATCAAAACAACCTCTCGTCCTTTTCATTTTGTTCTAATCAACGGGTTCCGACATTTCAGCGTTAAAATGGCCTACGTTATAGAAGGTCTGGTTTTAACTACGAGACTTCTTCAAGTCTATATACACCATTTTCCTTCACCTCATCTTCTTCATGAGCTCCTCTCGGAATTTTGGTGACGAAAATTGTCAAAATTGGTATTGATCCACCTCTCGTCAACCAACAGAGTCGATGCTGGTCGTTAGTAGTTTAAAAGGAATTGACGTTCAATTAACGTTCATATCCAAAATATGTTTAGTAGGGCGTAAATTTTTCCAAGTACACTATTTATGTGGCGTATGAGGCGCAGTGGTCGTAGGCGATCTGCAACACATACGTGGAATCGATCCCCGCGCCCATGGTCCACCAAGCTTTCCATCTCTCCGGAGACGGAAAATTGGTACCAGACTTGTCTGGGAGGATAGCAGCACTGGCTCGATACATCGGCAGGCCACCACGAGTCATTGTAAACGCCGGAGGCGTATCAATGAATTCACCATGGATTCCCATTCAATGGATTCCATTTTATCAATGGATTTGCATTCAATCACCTCCAACGATACTTAATGAAGTCGTATGCATGGCACATTTTTCATGGATTGATCAACGCCTAGAGCTTTGTCCTTTATCGCTACACTATTTGTATTCTTTCTACTTTTGCTCAGCAAACACGAGGTGCTATTTTATTTCTTTATTTACGCACAAGCTGACGTTTCGGCGAATTTCGCCTTCCTCAGAGCCTGCAAGAGTCAAGTTGACAGCAACCTATTTGGCTAAACACCTTCATAACAAAATAGAGAAAACGCTAAACCAGGATTTCAATCACATTTAACACAGCTCTGCACACTCACCGCTTTCTTCCACTGAGCATGTCGCGTGAAGACCAACCGCACAGAATTCACATGGAAGCGTAATGTGCCACTCCCATCAGAATAACAGGTTTATATACTGTCCAATATCACGCGTGATAACGAGGCATTTCTTCCTGCGGTTCATTTTCCGATTCTTGGAGTTAATCCAGAATGCCTTTAGAGTTTTGCGCGCTTGTGTTCTCAATTCTTGTTCTCTCCTCTCACCCCACTCACACAAAAAGGGCGCTTGTGAGAAACATGTTTCGAACAGCTACCAGCGTGTATACAGGAAGAGAGCAGAGAGAGGAGTCCTGGAACTTGGCGCGGCAAATAGCCATTTTTAATGGCTACGAAACTGTAGCCCGAGATAGGTGTAGAGGAAACCAAATACCTCCAACGATAACTCTAGTGACAATGAGGTCTCGCTTATCCTGCCCTTCATTTCAAATAAAGTAAGTTCAGCTATAAAACGCTGTTTAAGAACGGCTGGTCTAGAGAATTCGGTAACGGTAACTGAAATGCCATCCCTCGTGTTTGCTGAGCAGAAGTAGAAAGAATTGTTCAATCAATGCCGAGGTTAATAGAAAGTTGGACGTGGGAGTTACTATTTGTATTTTCAAACATTCCGAAAACACCCCTCGATAAACGAAGTCAAGTGTTCGCTGTCTTATCGTTCTAAGCAGTTCGTTGACGTCTTATTTAATCTATAGTTTGCCTCGTCAGGTCTTCATTGGAGGATTCGTATGCCTGCGTGCATGCGTTATAAGTAGAGGTCGTCGCCTTTCCACTACACATTTACGCCTCTGGAATGGTCCTGAGATTTTAGCAACCTATATCAATCCTCCTATTCAACGCTGCCGATTGAGCATGCCTCATTGGGAGCTCTGCGGCCATTATGAGAATGCCATTTATCTTATGGATGGCTTGAAAGTCTCTACCATAATGGAAGCGAAGTGTATTTGTTGAAGGCTGACCCTAACCACTCTTATGCAGTTCCCAATCACTTGATTGCAAATTTTTGGTTAAATTAACTGTCGAGCTGATTTACATATGTGCAAACATACGGCGCTTATGCGTACGAAGATTTTTGGGCCATTATTTTATTTATTCGTCAAAGCAATATCCTGTGGAAGCACAAAGTCGCCTTTGGGATCACACCCACCCACGTTCTCTCGCAACTAACAAGGTGTGGTTGCGCTCGTAAAGGAGACACATGGGCCACGCGGAAAGCCTCACACTTGGCTACATGTATTTCGTTCGGCTTTGTCTTGGCATGGATTCACTCATGGATGGGCTTACAGTAATTTATGTGGAACTTCTCAGTTTGAAGGACCATGGAGAGAAATGAAACCCAGCTGTACACAGCAGTTTATCTCTTGATAATTTACAATGAACTGGTCCTTTTCCGTGTTCGCAAAGATATTTTTGTGCTGCTTAAGTTTTTCGATGTTTCGAATAGGTCCTAACGGCGACCATGAAAATAACTTTGTTCTTTTTCCCATTATACAGAATGGATTAATCAAGCAGTCTTTTATCTCTGTCAGGTGCGGCTAGCCCACTGCTAGACATATAATAATAGTAAGATGCGTAAGGCCGGTGGTTCAACCTCGCCCCGAGTCAACCAATTCTTCAATCCCTTCGAGATCGGGAAGTAGGTGTCAAAGTTCTCTGGGAACTGCCAGGTCGTGAAATCAAGGAAGTACCTTATCACCGCTATCTCAGAATTTCAGAAAAAATATTTTCAACAACATCCGTAGAAAAAAAACTAAAAATTCTAACAGAAAAACCCATACGCATATTCGAACGAGTTCGCAAATGATGGATAAAAGGAAAGATATGTTGGGATCCGTTCAATATATGACGTCAGGCCGGGGCGTAAAAAATATGGATTCCCAATAGTCTATAGCCATCAGCTGATATTATGGTTTTCTCGAATGGTTAAATTCTCTATGGTAGGCGTTATAACAGTGGATATTAGCGAACTTTCTCCCAACGGTTTACTGTCTCATCGCAGCGGGGAGTTATTCCTGAGTGTCAGGCTGCGATGTACGGCGGGAGATTCATCCCACTGGTAGGGTCTCCCAAGCTAAGAAGGAGTCCGGAATACCATTAGAAAGCCTAGCTATGAGTAAACCAATACCAAAACCCACCACCGTCTTGGTACCAAATCAGTCTCATGGTGGCAAAACTCCTTCTGATCCACAACGGCTGCGACTGCCTGTGATGGTGGAAACCTAGGGTAGGCTTTAACCAAGCTGACCTTGAGGTTTCAGGTAACCAGAATGGGTTAACCAGTAAATCTCCAAAAAATGGAGATTATGCTGAGGCCCGCACAAGCAATGAGGACGGGCCATTCAAGTATCACCTATTAGCGGGCTCTCTTGTTTTTCAGCTTTCAAGCACACCGTAATTCACTCGTTTTGGATGCGTTTCACAATTTTGCAAGAGACACTTGGTATCATATCAGCAAATTACGACAGTAAATGAAGTTTATTTTAGGACGCTTCGAGATGATAATGACGAGTACAGATCTGTTCTCCATTGTATTTTACCAAACTACTGTTTTTAGAGTTGCCTGATTATGTTACAAAGTCAACGATCACTATGGCTTCTTCATAAGTTTTTCCATACGCTTTTGTTGAAGTATTTTGACCATCTTATTAACGTCTTTCGGATTCGCGTTCTCACTTGGATCTTCCATCGCTTTTTCCATCTTTTCCTTTTGCAAAATCCACATCACTTGGTCTATGCCTCCACTCTCTTTGCCCGGCGGCTGCAACAACGTATAAGCAGTTTTTTTCTTTTCTCGTCTATTTCAGTACTAAATCATTTGTTACATTAATCTGTAATTGTGCTACTTATATTGCTGTAATCACGAGAAAAATGGGTAGTCCATATACTAA